ATTACTCACCGCTGACTGGACGAGACATCTGTCAATCAACGTATACAGGAAGAACCAGCCGAAGAACAGCAGAGTTGTGGTAGAAAGTTTGGCGATGGTATTAAAGTAGCTCAGTTTATATGTATTGTATGAATTGTCCTTACTCTGGAATAAAAAATACGGGGTGTCTATTTACATTTAGTTAAAAGTAGTTGCAAATCTTCAGCTCTAGTGGCACAGATGGATAAGTGTGTGCCCTTGGCTTTTTGACGCGATAGACCCAGGTTCGATCCCGCCTTTTGCCGAACTTTTTTTTCCTCCCTTTACAAATCTCGTATTAGCAATGGATTCTATTTACACTAAGTGAAAACAGCAGTATTTTTAGCAAATTTTGTCACCAGAATAGTACATGCATACTACATGCACCACTCGATTTTTGTAACCGTGCATACTTTGTACACATGCACAGGTCGCACATTTGAATTGAATTTGTTTTGCACTAATCAGTAGTTCCACAAGGTGGCTGTTGTTTCACAGGAAAATACGAAACTAAAGAAATGGAACAACAACAACAAAATAGTGGAGACTGCAACAACAACAGACGCCTGCATTGACAAGCGCTTGTGCGAAGGGGTTATGAGGGGGTTATGAGAGAGCTGCAACTTTAGTTTAGAAGAGTACAAAGACATATTTTCGGTCAATATGAGGGAAGTAGTCATATCCTTCATAACTTCTGAAATTTTCTAGAGCGCATGTATTGACTGCCTGCATTCATGCAATCAAGTGGCATAAGGCTACACGTCAACTGTATGAATACGCCAGGGTTGCCAGGTCTTTGTAACAAAACCAGCTCAGTGTTCCAGGGGAAATTATCTATAAAAAAAAAGAAGTATTCTTTGGGCTTCAGATGCTAGGTGGTGCTATGGAGTCATTTTAGTTGAAAACAGGCAACAATCCAAAGAGAATGGAAAATAACGGCAAGTAAGCCTTTCAGTATGATCAACACATTTAATATTAATAATACTAATGAACTATGATTTAAGAGGGTTACGACTGTCCAGATGATATCCATGAGCCAAGATCAAAACCAGGAATGTTCCAATACCATTTTCTCAGTTCAAATAGACGACCTAGAGTTATTAAAGGGATAATTCACCCAAAAAATCTGTCATCATTTATTCACTGTCGTGTCGTTCCAAATCCATCAGACTTTTTTCCTCAGAACACAAAATGAGAACATGTTACGACTTTTTTCCATGCAGAGTCAGTCTGATTCGAGAACGAATCATTTAGATGATTTTTTGGACCCGATCAACTGATTCAGTTGAAAGATACGACTCAAAAGAATGATTCTTTCTTTTATCGGGCAACACTACTTCCCTCAGGAACATTCCATAGGCAGTCGGAGGGATGTCAAGATTTATTTTTTTTGAGAATATCAACATAAATTTCAGTTGTACAGATTACTTTTAGAATATGATTTTTTTTGTTGTTGTTGATTTCTTGTTCTTTATGAAGCCTGAAAGCTTCAGTCTTCTTAATTTTTTCCCTCTTTGGCCACACACACATTGCAGCTAAATTTGTTGGTCACTTCAAATTACAGTTCTTAATTATTTTCTGTACACACACAGTTCAGTAATTTATAGGAGTGATAATCATATTCTACAAATGAATTGACTCCTGAAAAAAATCAGGCTGTGGTAACCGCATTTACATAAATTCTATGCAGTGTGTATGGAAACGAACTGAACAACTAGCTGTTAATGATGTATTTAAACGTGTATCAAAGTCTTTTCTGTATGTGCAGTGCAAGAAATCACAGGGTATGCCTGACTCATTAGTGTTGCCTGATCTTGCTAACAAACAAACAGATAAGAACAAGCCCACAATAAACTCAAATCCAAACACGTTATCTTGGAAATAAGCCACATATGAAAATATTGTGACCTCCCAGGAGAAAAAATAATTCTTCCATAATATACTTAAAGTGCTCCATTTTCACGCACTAATTGTGTACTTAATATACTCAAACTTACTCTTAAAATGATCTTAGAAACATCTGAGTGTACTCATACTTCATACACTAGTGGGTTTAAGTGTATTAAGTGGTATCTAAATACATTTTATTAATACAGAGAAAGTATGTCAAAAGCCCATTTTAGTTCATATTCATGGTGTCCCAAAATAGCACAGTTAGATTGAGTACATTTAAGATATTCTTAAGATCATCTTAAGAAGTACTAAAGAATAATTTTTAGTATATTAATTACAAAATTAGTGTGTGAAAATAGAGCACTTTAAGTACATTTTGGAAGTGCACTTTTTTTTTCTCCTGGGCTGCAACTGCCTATTAACTCCATAAAATGGATTGCTTTACTGGCTGAGCCAAACAACAAGCCCAAAGATGCTTAAAAAGCATAATTTATATGAATTTAACATGGCAACCCTTCAAGAGTGTCCACTGCAAAGTAGCCTTCCAGGGCGAGGGTGAAGGTGAATAATACATTTTCAGAATTTTCATTTTAAGTCAACTGTCCCTCTACTTCCTGCTATTTGACAATTTCTAGCAATGAAATCCATTGAAAGATTCACTCCTACCAGGGATTAGAAAAAAACAACAACAAAAAAAACAATGACCACTACTTATTCTAGTCTGTAAAGTCAAATTACTTAATGAAATCTGTAATTGTCTCTGGAAATTTTCTTTTCCTCTTATCCAACGATTCATTATCATTCCTGGTGCAGCGGTTCTCATTACAGTTGAGATTGAGAGTCATAAATTTGAAAGAGACGCTAACGCAGACCAGATGGACCCTTAACCACAGGTCATGTTGGGGCCAAGCAATTACATCATGAAATGCAAGAAAAACGGCCACCTGGAGGATGCTCTGTGCCGGTCCTAAACTCAAACCAGGCTCTTAGGGCTCAAACATATCAGCGCTTGGGACTGAATATTCTGGCGTGTATTTAGGTAGTATTTTGAGGAGGACATTCTCATGGTACACCATGGAGTGAATGAGTATTATGTTTCCAATGTTATGCTAGGAGTGTAAAAGAAACCGTCTTTAATTCTGAGGCATTTAACTCTCAATGGTTAACATATTGCGCCCAGTTTTGCTCAAGTCTTTCTTATTGTATGACCCACTTGGGTCCATCTTATTCCCTATTTTCTGTCCACAACGAGAAAGGAACTGAAGTGAAAGCTAAAACCCGGATGGGGCCGAGGACCCGCCCTTGTGGCACTCACCCATTCCTTCTCAAAGACCCATGGAGGTGTCTGGAAGCTGATGACAGGAAGAAAAGCTGTGATTCCCAGCCAGCGAACGAAAAGCTCATCATCGGTAACCAGTTCGGCAGAGAGAGAGCCTCCTGCGATTGACAGTCCCACAAATGCATTCACATGTCAAGAAATTACATTTTTTTGGTGGACAATAACAATTTTCTAGCATTGTGATATTGTTTTTATTAGAAATTGGAAGCAAAATGTGCTTAACCCTATAAAGCCTACTGTAACATATTTGATACACAAATTTCTAAGGCCTGTAAATTATCGAAGTGATCAAATCTTGCTCAAAAACCTGTTGTACACAATCTACTACATGCCTTCTGTCGTCAAATTGATAGTTTATACTTTTTATTAAGTAAAATGCTTTTTCATGTAATTGAAAATACTGTCATCCCTCTTCAGTTCATGGAATATGGTAATCAGTATTTACTGATTTTTATAAAGTAAATGTAAGAATAACTTTTATCTTTTTAGTAATATTTCAAGATGAACACTTACTGGACTGAAGAAACTTTTTTTTTTGACATTTTATGCAAGTAGTCTGTTATATAAAGATCTCATTGATTTATATTACAAAGCTATCTGAATTTAATCTTATGTTTTGGCCATATATCAGCATCTTCACCAAATTGCATATTTTTGCTCAGTTTGGGCCTCTGAACAAATATTTTAGAGATATTTTCTCTTTCATAATATATGGGCCATAAACGTCTGATTTATCAAATATGATACACATATGCAAACTGTTTTTTTTAGATTTTGGCTAAAGGATCCATAAACTGTTCAGTTGCAGGAAGATTTTTCTTCATATGATGTATTATTACAGTATTTTGAGAATATGTGAGGAAAATGTGCTTAACTGTCAAAGTAACAATGCAACAAAGTAACAAATCTAATAGTCTTAAAAACAGGCTTCATTTTCAACAGGCTTAAAATGTAATAATCCCCCCCCCCCCTTTGATTAACTGGTCAAATGCAACCTGGGAATATTCTGGACATATTTTATGAGATTTATTCATATCATACTGTGTACTGTACAACTGTGTGCCAGTGGTCTTTTGTTTTTGTAAAGGATTAAAGAAGACAGTTGATGAAATTTTATTTTCTTTATCTATGGTATGAATTTTCACAAAAAATACATGTGTATTTATGCACGTGTGGGCAGGTATTACCTACTGCATCAGGAATGAAGAAATTATATCCCAGAAGACTGTGATGCAGCAGGGATGGAATGATGCCCTTCAGGCCAGAGTAACTCCAGTCTGACTGCAGTGCACTCATACGGATGAAGAGCGCTTTGTGTCTGGACCTGTGCGCACAAAATCGGCCAGTTCAAAAACAATTCGAATCACCTACAACACAATTCCAATTTGTTTTCCAAATTTTTCTTATGGGAAAGTCTGTTAAAAAACCCCCCCCCCCCCTTTGATTAACTGGTCAAATGCGACCTGGGAATATTCTGGACATATTTTATGAGATTTATTCATATCATACTGTGTACTGTACAACTGTGTGCCAGTGGTCTTTTGTTTTTGTAAAGGATTAAAGAAGACAGTTGATGAAATTTTATTTTCTTTATCTATGGTATGAATTTTCACAAAAAAATACATGTGTATTTATGCACGTGTGGGCAGGTATTACCTACTGCATCAGGAATGAAGAAATTATATCCCAGAAGACTGTGATGCAGCAGGGATGGAATGATGCCCTTCAGGCCAGAGTAACTCCAGTCTGACTGCAGTGCACTCATACGGATGAAGAGCGCTTTGTGTCTGGACCTGTGCGCACAAAATCGGCCAGTTCAAAAACAATTCGAATCACCTACAACACAATTCCAATTTGTTTTCCAAATTTTTCTTATGGGAAAGTCTGTTTTTTCAAATGAGTGACTGTCTACTTGACATTTTGGATCTTGTTCAAACCATAATCGATATCAGTACCTTGCCATGGAAATTGTACACAAACTGTACAAGCCAGAACAAAGCAAAGAGTCTTCTACAACAACAACAAGAAGTAACTATCATTGTGGAAAGAGAAGATGGGAAACTGCCTCTTGCTACACACGGTATATCCACAGTGCTGTTAACATGACACATCATTCATAAAATCTTCCAAAACTCCATTTTAACTCCTTCCCCACCAGCATTTAAAAAAAGACAAATAAAAAAAACCTTGCCAGCAACCACCAACATTTTTGATTATTTTTACAAAACTTTTATGGCCCCCAGAACTCTCAATATGTCAAAAGAAATAGCAGAGCCTCTGCTTTTATTCTAGCTTCAGGCATTCTTCTTTTAATCAAGACTTGAATGTGGGCAAGTTTAATTAAAAAAGCAACATTTTGAACAAAATGCTGAGAAAATCGTGTCTATGTCTGGACTGGATTCAGATCGATGATCAAAACATAGATGGAGTTGATCACTTCCATCAACACGCCCAAAACTTCACAATCCTAAACCACTTCCTGGGGTCTACATTTTTTATTTATGTGCTGTTTAATGCTTGATGATCACATTATTTTACATATGCATCTGTTTTCATGTGTAATCGATTGTTTCTGCATCTTCTTCACCGTGTTTTGATCCAGATGTTCAGTACTCATCAGAAGATGTGTAATAGCACCTCCTACCATGCAACAGTGAAAACACGGAAAGATGGAAAATTCCGTCAATGGCGGGGAAAGAGTTAAATAGATTTTAAATCACATGTATGCATGTGGTTTGGATCAGACTTGTAAAAAGAAATCAGATTTGGTGTATTTTTTTGGAGGTTGAGACGACAGATTTGAGTCGGACATGCCAAGAATGGATTTTGGATTTTGGTTCCTTGTCTGAACAAAGTCTGTTAATTGTTCCCAAAGTTGTAGGTTGGTCATGATTTTTCCAAATGGGGCAAATTCTTGGATTGTCATGTTCAGTTGATCCTTGAACAACATTCCGCTCAAACAAACTTAACCAAACTACCTGAAAATCCCAATCCCAGCCCCGACTCTAACCTAAAACCTCACAAGGATCTTGATCCATGCACTACTTGGCAAAGTCACAGTAATTGATTGGGATTATTTAAAACATTCAACCAAATACCTTGTTCCTGAGGTCACAATGGTATTTTCCCCTATCCTCTCTGCCAGGTCAGCCAGAAGTCTGATGTATTCATCCCCAACCAATGCCAGAGGGGGGCGTAGGGCCTGTTCCTCGAAAGGGTTTCCCTCACCGCCTTCCAGGATGACATACTCCATGCCCAAATGGCTATGTAAGCTGTCCACTTTGTCCAGAAACCAATTTGTGGCTTCTGGGTTGGTGATGTTGAGCTTTACACTGTACTTTCCTTTCCACTGAGTCAACAGAGGCACCTTATGAAAGAGAAATCATGTAAAAATTAAAAGTAAACAATAATAAGGCACAGATAAGCATATGGGTCAAGAACAAAGAGTGTATCAATGAAAAAGAATAGGAAAAATCTCTAGTTCAAAACGTGAAAATTCTTGGTTTCATATGGCTTTGAAGAAACTTGTATACAATTTTCAAGAAAGATTTAGATAAGTAAGTCAAGTCTGCTTTATTGTCAATTCTTCCACATGTACAGCACATACACACAGAGAATTGAAATGTTATGTACTGTAACTATTAAGTAATAACAGTACACCTTTAATACATATGAATGTACAACTCTTTCATATTTTCATATATACATTTTTAGAATTTTGTGACAGATACCATGCATTTAAATCCTAAAAATAATCAAAAATCAAGTCAAAGTGTATGGGGAGTTGCACCACATGACATATAACCTGATAAAATGATTTAATAATACTAAAAACGACTTAATAATTTACTTTTAAAGGGCCCCCCCCCCCCCCCCCCCCCTCCCCCATTATAATATCAGGACAGTTGTACCACCCTGACCATTTTTACTTTATGCCCCAAAAGATCAGCATTTTAATTTTTTATTTACATTAAGAAATGTAGATTCTTCATGGGAGACTTCAAATCACTGTATGTTTGTATTGCTTTTTTTTATTTTTATTAATTAATAGGTCCAGACAAAAATGGCATCAAGCAGGATTATTATTAAGTAACTAAAACTAAAACCATAAAAAGTAATATATTAAGGGATATAAAATAAAACCTAAAATGTAAATGTTCCCTTTAGGTTGAACTACTAATAATTAAAACTATATAGACATTTAAATAAAAAACTAGAACTTTAAAATTAGACAGACGCAGTGACAAGCAATCAGTCAGTCTTACCGGTCGGCCCTGTGGTCCTGAGGGCAGACTCAGCCAGTAGTCTTCAATGCCTTCTTGAATGGAGGTCTGGAACTGCTGCGAGTCCACGCTCAGGTACGGGGACAGGGTGATGGAAATGTTTAGAAGCTTTACAAAAGGGAGGTCCCTCGTCTGTCTCTTAGACATCCTTTTCTTGCTATTGAGGTAGCTGTGGTCCTAGAAAAGCAAAAAATAATTGGCAAATATATTAAACAGTTTGTTTGTTTGTCTAATGGCACCTGTTTAAAAAGCCATACATTTTGGTGCAGAAATGATACATTTAACCTCCCAAATCAAGCTTGTTCGATTTCTAACCTACACAGAAAAATAAAAACTTGATGTTGTAAAAATGTAAACATTTTAAGAACTTTCATTGGTATAACCTAGTTTAGGCTAATTCAGTCAAATAAAATAATATTTTGGAATATAATAAAATATTTTTGATATTGCAACATATTCTTTAGGTCAGGGGTTTTCAAACGTTTTTATACCAATGACACCCAGATATGAAATATTAATGAACGCAGCTGTATATTTTCAAGTATGAAAAAAAAACGGTTTAATATAAATTTTCTATATAAAAAAATACCTTATGTATGATGAAATGCTTTCTCAAATGTCTTATAAGGTTTATAATTTAATTCAGCAGTGCTTCTAAATCACAGTTAACAAATTAACCACATGACATATAAAAACAAGTTTTTATTAGATCTGTGGTCCTTAAAAATGAGACAAGTGGCATTACAAAACTCTTTATTATCAATTTGAGAGGTCTTCAATTTGAAGAAAGAAGAACAGACTAATATGTTATTAAACCTCAAAAGGCTGCGGTTTCATTAAATAAATGTGAGCGCTATGCATTTTAACGTCAAAACAGGGTAGTTCACAATCAATGAATATTGCATGTGTATGACTGCTTATGATCTACTGTTGATGAATTATGGTCATGTTTACTTAATTGTATTCATATTGTAATATGCTATAAGTGATTGTGTGAGTGCATATTTTATGTCCCTCATCTTTTTAATGCGCAGCTGGAAGTAGTAAAGCATATACATTTCAAAATCAGAGTCCTGTTGTATTTTCTGCATTATGCATACAATTTTTGGTTACATGAAAAACTGTAAAATCTAAACGTTATTTAAAGTAATTCACCCAAAAATGAAATTTTGCTTCAATTGTACTCGCCCTCAGGCCATATAGATGACAGATTTGGAGAAAGTTTGCACCTCTTGCTCACCAATGGATCCTCTGCAGTGAATGGGTGCCGTCAGAATGAATTGCAATAAAAGAAACGTTTAAACTTTAAACCATCACTTCTGACCAAAATACAAGGCCATAATCCATAATAACTCTTCCTCCAGTAAAAAAAAGTCCATCTCCTGTTGTCTTTCACATCAAAATCCACCAACATATTTGTTTAGAGCTGTTCTGGACTGTTTTTGCTTGTAAACTGTGCTTGATCTGTGCATATTTCTCTCCTGATTCGGACGAGATGACTTTTTCAATGGAGAAAGCAATATTATGCACGGAGGAGTCATATTTTAGCTGAAAGCAATGTTTTGAAGTTAAAAACGTCTTAATAATGGACTTGTTTTGGGTTGGAGTGTTGTGGATTACTTGTAGATTACTGTGATGTTTTTTTATCAGCTGTTTGGACTCTCATTCTGACGGCACCCATTCACTGCAGAGGATCAATTGAGCATATTTACATTTTTTTTGGTGAACTATTCCTTTAACACACTCATAATGTCTCACCGTTTTAACACACACAGTTTGTAGTCTGCTTTTGTAGGCAATCAGACATTACAGACAATGGCAGGCGTCAGCGTTAAAGTCTCAGAATTCGTATTTTGTTGATTATTTTAACAGTATGGAAAATATTATTGTTTTACCATCACTGAAAATAATACCTCAGCCCCTATTAATGTTTTTACCATGACAGTTGCTAACAGAGCCCCGGCGTCTGAGAAAATATAACAATAATGTCATTTATATTAATCATATTGTACAGGCATGTCGAACGCTGTGCTTAAGAGGAATCTGTGCAATAAATAGCGAATACTGGCAAGTGTGTTTATAACCAAATTCATTCCAAGTCAAGCTGTTGGTTCCGCTTATGGCTGTGTTATTTCAAGCTAAAATGGAAACTAGCAAAGAAAAAAAACTGCATTGGGATTGTTTCCCCAATTGGAGTTTCGTATAACTGTCACACAAGGGAAAGTTTCCCACTGCAATTTAGTGGTATGACTTTTATTCAGGTTGGGAAATGGGAAAGTGTGGTGCATGTATCAGATAGCACACATAATTATGCTTCATTGTGGGTTATCTGATATTTTTGTTATAAAGTCCCCAGTTTTTTGCTATTTTAGGTCATAATCAAACATTAAAATTTTTTATTTGAGCCTATAGCCTATTTTTCAATACATATAGCTATTGCAATATAGCAAAATGTAAGTGTAATGGAAGGGAAAATGTGTTGTATGGAAAAAGGAACAAATAAGGGAAAAAAATTCAAAAGAGTAAAACCAAAGTCATGAGTTATTGTAATAGGAGGGCTGTAGTCAGCATTACATTGACGTTAATGTACAAACAATAAATCAAGACAGTCTAAACTTGAAAATTCTTAGGTATGCACAGATTATATTTTTTTCTGGCCGATGTCTGTTCTTATTTTATGGCCAAAAAACAATATGAAGGGCAATATTATAAATATATATAAAAAAAAATGTTTTTTTTGTCTAGATATATTTATTTATTATCTTAATAGCATTTCTGAATTTAAATGTATGTTGGGGGCATGAAGTCAGAAATATCAGGGTGATAACTGTCCTAATATCATAATAACCTATAATAATAATTATTATTAATTAATCATATTAATAATTATATATTATATTAATAATTATTATTTCTTAGGAAAAAATGATTTCTTATTCGCAAAATTGCTTCAGTGATTATTAATATTTGAAAAACTTGTCCGCTAAATCCAAGTCATGTGGTGTAACCAACATGCAACCCTGCAGATGCCCATGTGTTAATAAGTCACTTATAATATCAGAAAATATGCATTTTTATGGCAAAGCACAGTTGTTCGGGTTGTAAAATGTCATGTGGTGCAGCTCACCAAAAACTAATGATATTTATGAATGAATAATTTATTTTTATTAAATTTTTTTAGGATAATATGTTATTACTTTTTATTTCATGGTTACGCTACATGACCGTCTTAGACTCATTCAAATGATTAAAAAGGATATATTAAAGTTTTTCAAAACCATGTGAAACCATATAAACATACATTTGACATTGTGATAAATGCCTTTAGCATGATATCAATAAGTCTCAGGTTGTAAAATGTCATGTGGTGCGACACTCCAAAAAAACAAGTAATATTTATGAATTAATATATTATATGTGTAAAATAAATAAATAAAGTATATTTTAAAACATTCTTGAAAATAAAGATATATTCAGGGTGTAAGGAAACTCTTTTTATTTGATGGTTACACCACATGACATTTTTAGACTCACTAAAATGAAACTTTTGTTGAAAGCGGTATAAAAGTTTTCCGAAACCAGCATTAGCACTCTTATTTGTCACTGACCCAACTATATAACGATATTCCCTATAACCCATGTTGGAGTCGTGGCTTAGTGGTTACAGCAAATGCTCCAGAGATGTTAAGCTGTGTCGCTCATGTGGGGAATTCAGGTACAAGCCTTCAGGTTTACAGTCTGTTCATAGCTCAGCCGCTAAAGCACAACCTATATATGTGTTCTGATCAAATATACACCTTGAATGCACTATAAACCTTAGATAAAAGCATTGAGAAATGCATAAAAAGTGGTAAAAAGACAAAGCGTACTTAACACAGATGGCCCACACTGGTTCAACATATCAGTCTCCTTAACACAGCAAGTATCACCTAATTGTAAACCAGTTCCCTGCTGGCATTTCAGTGAACCAGAGATGTGTGTCTTTCTCTCAGGGGATCAGATCCTGACCTCTCCTCACCGGCTGCAGATCCGCTTAGAAAAATGAAGCCTTTCATGTCCACTGAGCAGCTCGGACTTGTTTTGTTCTGTCAGAATGAACTTAACAGGCCAGCTGGTGGCTTTTAACGTGAGACGTTTCCACTTGAACACAGCGTTCCCGCGGTAACTCTGCTTGCTATGTACCTCCGTATCGAAACGAAACGTGTTTTGCCAGACCCTGGCCTGTGTTTGTGATTATAATGAGTCCTTCAGAAACCTCACCATCAACCGCATGAAAATGAACAGCGAAGTCTGTCATTTATGATGAACAGGGAAGTCGTGGCCTAATGGAGTCGGACTCATAACCCAAAGGTTGTGGGTTCGAGTCTCGTACCGGCAGGGATTGTAGGTGGGGGGAGGGAATGTACAGCGCTCTCTCCCACCTTCAATACCACAACTGAGGTGCCCTTGAGCAAGGCACTGAACCCCAAACTGCTCCCCGGGGGCCACAGCATAAATGGCTGCCCACTGCTCCGGGTGTGTGTTCACTGCTGTGTGTGTGTGCACTTTGGATGGGTAAATGCAGAGCACTAATTCCGAGTATGGGTCACCATACTTGGCCACATGTCACTTCACTTCACTTATGCGTCACTAGTTTGTTTTGAAAGTCATACAGGTTCGGTACAAAATGAGGGTGAGTAACTGACGACTGAAACAATGGTTTTCTTTTTTTAAACTGGGTTTTCCACCAAGTGCATGGATCAAAATAGTTTGGCGAATTATGTTTTATAATTCGGCTGAAGGCTACTAACAGTTCACAATCTGATTAAACAAAGACTTTTTAGTTCAAAATGTTACATATGCACAGTGCTTAATGCCTAAGAAGGATCTAAATTGGATTTGAATATACTTTATATAATTACGCAAGGTTGTGCACATTAGCTGACACTGATGCTGCTTGAATGCTGAGGTGAATTGTAAAATTTAACATTGATTTTAGCCTCGTATTAATATTGATTTCTTTAAAAAAAAAAAAACATACTTGGCCACATGTCACTTCACTTCACTTATGCGTCACTAGTTTGTTTTGAAAGTCATACAGGTTCGGTACAAAATGAGGGTGAGTAACTGACGACTGAAACAATGGGTTTCTTTTTTTAAACTGGGTTTTCCACCAAGTGCATGGATCAAAATAGTTTGGCGAATTATGTTTTATAATTCGGCTGAAGGCTACTAACAGTTCACAATCTGATTAAACAAAGACTTTTTAGTTCAAAATGTTACATATGCACAGTGCTTAATGCCTAAGAAGGATCTAAATCGGATTTGAATATACTTTATATAATTACGCAAGGTTGTGCACATTAGCTGACACTGATGCTGCTTGAATGCTGAGGTGAATTGTAAAATTTAACATTGATTTTAGCCTCGTATTAATATTGATTTCTTAAAAAAAAAAAAAAAATGATATCCACACTGGTATTTTTCTGTGGAAAACAAAAAGATAACACTATGAAGAGAATTTTAGTATAATTTCTAAACAATTTTTGTTGATATTTTAAATTAGATTTTATTTATATATTTTCAGTTTTCATTTTTCAAGTTTAATTATAGGTTTTAGTTTTAATTAATTTAGATTTACTTATGTTTGTACTTCAATTTAAACACACATTAGAAATGTTGGATTGGCAGCTAGTATGAATAAAATGTTATTTTCTCATCTTTTTAAATATTTTGTTTTATTTCAAATAATGTAGTTGTTGTTTTTTTAATCAAAAATACAAAAAAAATGAAATATTTTTTTTTTGGATCTTTTAATTTATTTAAAAATTTAATCAATTTTTGAATATATGTCTATAGTATTTATTAATTTTAATTTATTTGTTTTAGTTTATTTTGTTATTTTAGTACTTCAGCTTGACGAGAAATGTTGCCTTGTCGACTAGCTGAAATAAAATGTTTTTTTTTTTTTCAGTACACATTTATTTTATTTTAATCAATGAACATGTTTTTTTATGGTTATAGTTAACCATAATAACCCTGTTACTGAGTTGTTGCACTTACTTGTACACAACCATACATAAATATAAACATACACCATAAAAAAATCAATTGATAGATGATCATTTTCAACATGTACATGCAGAAGAAGCTGTCCAGTTGGCTCTGTGGGCTGTGCGAGCCGGTGGGGTGTTGAGGCGGAAAATGAAGGCCTGAAGGCCCGGAGCTACAACAGGTGCAGAGGCCGAGCCGCTGACGGCTGGAGATTAAACAGCACACTGAAGGTCAGAGACGGGGAATATACTGCAGATCACCACAGACGCTCTGACACTGAATGACTTCAGCTTTCTCACAACCTATTTATTACGTGGGGTTCATTGTTCATTGTTTTAATTATTATTTATAAAACAACAAGCTACTTGATTTGACGCTTTTATATTATTGTTGCTTTTATTATTATTATTATTATTATTATTGGAGTATTGGAGAATTGATGCTGAAAATTCAGCTTTGCATCACAGGAATAAATTACATTTGAACATTTATTCAATTTGAAATTGTGTTAATATTTTACAATATCACTTTTTGTGTATTTGCATTGTAAATGCAGCCTTGATGAGCATAACAAGACTTCTTTTAAAAGCACATTTATCTATCATGAATCCCCAGCTGATATACAGAACAGTCAGATGTTATTGTGCTACAGGAAGCAGGCAGAGGGTGATTTAGAGCGCGTGACCCACCATGCTGGCGAGCAGAGCAGTGGAATGTTCGTCGAGGCTGACGACTCCCTCCCCGAGGTGATGCCGCTTCAGACGGTTTGAGAAGGTTCTCAGCTCGCGCTCTAGCTTGGCCCCTGAGTCCACGTTTGCTAGAAGCTTCCAGAAAGGCAGCCTTCAGAGAAATATTGTATTTGTTAGAGTCTTCAAACTCTAGCACACCAACACATCAGAGTAATATTAACTAAAACCTTAAAAAATCATTAACAAAATAAAAATTAATTATATATAATACTGAATGTATTGTATCTCAGCTAGTCGCCAAGAAAATATTTCAAATTTTCATTTAAAATTATATTAAGTACCAAAATAACTAAAACTAAATAATTTTATAACTCAAAACTTTATTTTAAGGCGTCCTTGTTACACATGTTACATGTACTTTGTATTATAATAAAAATACATTTTGCATAATTACATGCAAGTAACCCTAAGCCAAAACCTAACCCTTACCCTAACCATATAGTACTGTAAGTACATGTGGTTAATTAATATTACTCAGTACTTAAATGTATAATTACACTGTAACAAGGACATCTTAAAATAAAGGGTCCCACTTTATATTAAGTGGCCCTAATACCGGTGTACTTGCATAGTAACTAGATTACTATACTATACAAGTACACATTGGTACATAGTATCTAGAGCTGTAATATTTCTGTAACTACACACATGTAACAGCCCACTGAATGGTTTGTGCAAGTACAAATGTGTAACAGGACATATACAGTGGGTACGGAAAGTATTCAGACCCTCTTAAATTTTTCACTCTTTGTTATATTGCAGCCATTTGCTAAAATCATTTAAGTAAATTTTTTTCCTCATTAATGTACAAGGGGGTGGAGATGGGTAGGTTTAGGGGTGGAGATGGGATCCAGGGGGTGGAGATGGGTAGGTTTAGGGGTGGAGATGGGATCCAGGGGGTGGAGATGTGTAGGTTTAGGGATATGTAAAGTGGGAGGACTTGGATCTCAAGTTAGTGGAGTTGGTGCACCACTGTAATGACGTCAATGATGGAAAATTTTTGGTTAACGTGACCTCTGATATATATATATATATATATATATATATATATAGCAGTATTGAAATTATATAATGTTGTTTATTTATTCATCAATTCATTTTAATTTATTATTTAATTTATTTCCATTAAAAATTCATATTATTTCAGGGGGCATTTACACAAAACTGTTTTCAACTAAAACTGCAAAAGTCTTTCATGCGTTTTGGCCATTCAGTTACAAGATAATGTTAGATAGGCGTTTTGGGGGCCTGAAAATGCAAACTTTTGTAAACCGTACCGTATTTGTAAAACATGAATATTAAAACGATGATGTCTTGCAAATGCATATAATACAGCGTTTTTAGTCATTTTCATGAGTCTGTGTGAACAGGGAGTTGTTTTGACAACAATGACGTTTGTATGTAAAACTTAAAAAAAAACAAAAAAACATGAAGGTACCCTCATTCAATCTACAATTGAAAGTGAATCAGAAATCAATTTAATGTACATTAAAATTGATGAATCACTTTTTAACTCTTTTGACACCTAGAAAAAGTGACGCTTAAAAAAGGTGTGCCTCTGCTTCTAATATCGGGCAGGTACTGATAATCATCAAGCACTAATAATTGCGAAAAATTTTATGCATCCCGATAAATGCAAAGTTAAAGATAACAATGAATGATAACAATAAAAAAGGGAAAGGGGTTTGTAAAGTTGTTGTACCATAAGACATCCATGTTTGGCAGCTCTCGTCTGGCTGTGGAGAGCTGCTGCATTGACTCCTGATGGACGGCTCGAATGTTGTGTCCAACACACACGGTGTACTGCAGCGGCATGCGCTCCATACTGGGCGGCGTCTGCAAACAGAACTGCTGTCTGCTCTCCATTCCTACATGAAGCGGGATGTTCGGGGCCACTAGAACTGACACACCTTTGGGAAAAAAAAAACACAACAACATTGGGTTACTAATGGTCAGTTTTGCCCATTTTAAATCCCCAGATAAATCAAGACTGAAGTTTTGTGGCTTTTAGTCCATGCCTGCTAACTGTGAGGTCGTTTATATGCTAGTGTACACCTAAAAGTTGGCAAAAATAACTTTGAGTAGATATAGAGCCAAATTAGCAAGAGCGAACAAACCCATAAAAGTATAAATGGGAGTGGAAAGTTCTGCAGTTGATCTACTGTCAATTAATTAATCAAATTAAGGGGACAGTTCACGCAGAAATGATAATTACCCCGTCAGCCTCACTCACCATCAAGCCATCATTGACTTTCTTCTTTCAGACAAATACAATCGTAGTTTTAAAAAATGTCTTGGTTATTCCAAGCTTTATAATGGCAGAATTTGTAATGATTTTATCATGGTACGAATATGTGTACCGTTACAACCCTAGTTAAAATTTAAAATTTAGAATTCATTGATTCAAAGCTGAATTTTCAGCATTATTACGCTAGTCTTCTGTATCACACGGTCCTTCAGAAATCATTCTAATATGCTGATGGTTCTTTTATGAATAGAAAGTTCAAAAGAACAGCATCCATTTAAAATCAGATTTACTATCAGCTTGCACCAGTGCAAACCCTCATTTGGCGTTAATAAAAACTGTCAGGTAAAAAAAAAAAATTTTTTTTTGCGACTCACCTTACTGAATACGCATTTGTAGGAGTTTCCCTTTCGACTGGTAAATTTATGGGATTAGAGTATTTAAATGAATCACGCAATGCGAATTACTAAGATTTGCACTCGTCAATTCACTGGTATTTGCGGCATTATTTAACACCCCCAAAAAGCATGTCTTAAAGCGCTCTAACGCTAATTTGCCGTTTAGTAAATTTGGCCCGAAATGTATTTAATGTCACTTTTGATCAATTTAATGCAGCCTTGCAGAATAAGTGTATTCGTTTCATTTAAAAAGAAAAAAAACAACTTTGAATGGTAGCGCATGTCTTCCTATTTCAATAGGAAATACGAAATAGCTGTAATCGGAAATAACATGATGAACAGTTCAGTCAATGAGGCTGACACTGCAAGACACTGCTGAGCCGTCAGGTGATTTCAGATCACACGTTAACTCCTGTAACTGCATTCGTGACTCTGTGTGAATGGCAGACACAGCATGAACGAAACCAAATACCATCTTTCGACCTGCCCCAGTAAAGCAGCCTTTACAGCCTGATGTACTGTATCATGGAAATTCCAAGACTGGGACGCTTGGAACAGGAAACACTGGGATTTATAATTGAATCTTTATATTTTCAAAGCATCTTGAGAAGGTGGGTGGTATATGAGGGCTGCTTCTGATGTCTTTTTGCACCTGAAAAGTTGAGATTATGTGAAGCAGATAATGGTGTGCGCAGATGTAGCTGCCCTCCCTGGAATTCCTCCTGCTTCTCGGATTTCACCACCATGTCAATGTACCCCAGTGTAGACGCACACAGCACCGTCCGTCCGAATGCCCCTCATCTCACCCAAACTCACACCACGACTTTAAAATGAGATTTTAAAATGAAACAATACATCTTTGGAAAAGTTTTCCAGCAATGAGCAGTGCATCGTTTCAGAAGTTAGGTCATTTTTTATTATTCAGATATGATGTAGTTCAAAAGAAATAGCCTGATAATCAGTTTGATTTTGTCATTTTTACTGATATTCGCCTTTTTTCAACTGTCTTTAAACTCAACGATAATTGGCACTGTTTTGTGGTTCTCTGTAGAACAGCACTAGCAATGATGACATTAAAGGGATAGTTCACCCCAAAAATTAAAAATCTTTCATTAAAGAGGTCATATGATGTGATTTCAAGTTTTCCTTTCTCTTTGGAGTGTTACAAGCTGTTCGTGAATAGATAAGATCCCTAAAGTTGCAAAGACTAAAGTCTCAAACCTAAAGAGATATTCTTTATAAAAGTTAAGACTCGTCCATGCACTCCTAAAACGCTTCGTTTAAACACACCCCCACGTGTCTACGTCACTGTGTGGGAAGATTTGCATAACACCGCCTAAATGTTCACGCAAAGAAAGAAGGCGTAACTTTTATTCTCGCTGTAGTATTGTTGCTGCCGTCGCCGCCAAGTCGTGGAGATGCTGTGTGTTTCGTTATGAAAGCGAAACTACTTTGTTTGGCCTCTCAAAAGAGGACACGTCTAGAAATCAGTGGTTAAGTTGTATTTACAACACTGTTCCAGAACAGTTCAAACCAAATATTCAGATGTGTGCAACGCATTTTACGGAGGATCCTGGGAGAGTAGCCTACAATGCCGGTGTTCTGACAAATAATGCTGACTCACAGCCTGTAAGTACGTTTTCATATTTAAAGGATTTGCCACTGATGATTCAAACGCGAGTTTTGAGCAGTGTAGAGTAGCGCTTGTTTGTCATTTCTCCGATCACAAATGCAGACATGGTTTTATGTTTACGTGGTGCGATGCAACGTAATGCGTAAAAAGACAGTTTAAGTCATTATAATCCCTAATTATGTCCCCACTGGATGCAACAAATGCCTCGTTTATAATGGGTTTTATTGGTTTTGTCTCGTCACGTCGGGACACGGCATCACAGTATGGTAAGGGGCGTAACATTTACGTCACACACTTGAGGTATTCTGGCAATCACAATGCACTGGATAGCTGGCCAATCACAGCACACCTCATATATATATATATATATATATATATATATAGCAGTATTGAAATTATATAATGTTGTTTATTTATTCATCAATTCATTTTAATTTATTATTTAATTTATTTCCATTAAAAATTCATATTATTTCAGGGGGCATTTACACAAAACTGTTTTCAACTAAAACTGCAAAAGTCTTTCATGCGTTTTGGCCATTCAGTTACAAGATAATGTTAGATAGGCGTTTTGGGGGCCTGAAAATGCAAACTTTTGTAAACCGTACCGTATTTGTAAAACATGAATATTAAAACGATGATGTCTTGCAAATGCATATAATACAGCGTTTTTAGTCATTTTCATGAGTCTGTGTGAACAGGGAGTTGTTTTGACAACAATGACGTTTGTATGTAAAACTTAAAAAAAAACAAAAAAACATGAAGGTACCCTCATTCAATCTACAATTGAAAGTGAATCAGAAATCAATTTAATGTACATTAAAATTGATGAATCACTTTTTAACTCTTTTGACACCTAGAAAAAGTGACGCTTAAAAAAGGTGTGCCTCTGCTTCTAATATCGGGCAGGTACTGATAATCATCAAGCACTAATAATTGCGAAAAATTTTATGCATCCCGATAAATGCAAAGTTAAAGATAACAATGAATGATAACAATAAAAAAGGGAAAGGGGTTTGTAAAGTTGTTGTACCATAAGACATCCATGTTTGGCAGCTCTCGTCTGGCTGTGGAGAGCTGCTGCATTGACTCCTGATGGACGGCTCGAATGTTGTGTCCAACACACACGGTGTACTGCAGCGGCATGCGCTCCATACTGGGTGGCGTCTGCAAACAGAACTGCTGTCTGCTCTCCATTCCTACATGAAGCGGGATGTTCGGGGCCACTAGAACTGACACACCTTTGGGAAAAAAAAAACACAACAACATTGGGTTACTAATGGTCAGTTTTGCCCATTTTAAATCCCCAGATAAATCAAGACTGAAGTTTTGTGGCTTTTAGTCCATGCCTGCTAACTGTGAGGTCGTTTATATGCTAGTGTACACCTAAAAGTTGGCAAAAATAACTTTGAGTAGATATAGAGCCAAATTAGCAAGAGCGAACAAACCCATAAAAGTATAAATGGGAGTGGAAAGTTCTGCAGTTGATCTACTGTCAATTAATTAATCAAATTAAGGGGACAGTTCACGCAGAAATGATAATTACCCCGTCAGCCTCACTCACCATCAAGCCATCATTGACTTTCTTCTTTCAGACAAATACAATCGTAGTTTTAAAAAATGTCTTGGTTATTCCAAGCTTTATAATGGCAGAATTTGTAATGATTTTATCATGGTACGAATATGTGTACCGTTACAACCCTAGTTAAAATTTAAAATTTAGAATTCATTGATTCAAAGCTGAATTTTCAGCATTATTACGCTAGTCTTCTGTATCACACGGTCCTTCAGAAATCATTCTAATATGCTGATGGTTCTTTTATGAATAGAAAGTTCAAAAGAACAGCATCCATTTAAAATCAGATTTACTATCAGCTTGCACCAGTGCAAACCCTCATTTGGCGTTAATAAAAACTGTCAGGTAAAAAAAAAAAAATTTTTTTTTGCGGCTCACCTTACTGAATACGCATTTGTAGGAGTTTCCCTTTCGACTGGTAAATTTATGGGATTAGAGTATTTAAATGAATCACGCAATGCGAATTACTAAGATTTGCACTCGTCAATTCACTGGTATTTGCGGCATTATTTAACACCCCCAAAAAGCATGTCTTAAAGCGCTCTAACGCTAATTTGCCGTTTAGTAAATTTGGCCCGAAATGTATTTAATGTCACTTTTGATCAATTTAATGCAGCCTTGCAGAATAAGTGTATTCGTTTCATTTAAAAAGAAAAAAAACAACTTTGAATGGTAGCGCATGTCTTCCTGTTTCAATAGGAAATACGAAATAGCTGTAATCGGAAATAACATGATGAACAGTTCAGTCAATGAGACTGACACTGCAAGACACTGCTGAGCCGTCAGGTGATTTCAGATCACACGTTAACTCCTGTAACTGCATTCGTGACTCTGTGTGAATGGCAGACACAGCATGAACGAAACCAAATACCATCTTTCGACCTGCCCCAGTAAAGCAGCCTTTACAGCCTGATGTACTGTATCATGGAAATTCCAAGACTGGGACGCTTGGAACAGGAAACACTGGGATTTATAATTGAATCTTTATATTTTCAAAGCATCTTGAGAAGGTGGGTGGTATATGAGGGCTGCTTCTGATGTCTTTTTGCACCTGAAAAGTTGAGATTATGTGAAGCAGATAATGGTGTGCGCAGATGTAGCTGCCCTCCCTGGAATTCCTCCTGCTTCTCGGATTTCACCACCATGTCAATGTACCCCAGTGTAGACGCACACAGCACCGTCCGTCCGAATGCCCCTCATCTCACCCAAACTCACACCACGACTTTAAAATGAGATTTTAAAATGAAACAATACATCTTTGGAAAAGTTTTCCAGCAATGAGCAGTGCATCGTTTCAGAAGTTAGGTCATTTTTTATTATTCAGATATGATGTAGTTCAAAAGAAATAGCCTGATAATCAGTTTGATTTTGTCATTTTTACTGATATTCGCCTTTTTTCAACTGTCTTTAAACTCAACGATAATTGGCACTGTTTTGTGGTTCTCTGTAGAACAGCACCAGCAATGATGACATTAAAGGGATAGTTCACCCCAAAAATTAAAAATCTTTCATTAAAGAGGTCATATGATGTGATTTCAAGTTTTCCTTTCTCTTTGGAGTGTTACAAGCTGTTCGTGAATAGATAAGATCCCTAAAGTTGCAAAGACTAAAGTCTCAAACCTAAAGAGATATTCTTTATAAAAGTTAAGACTCGTCCATGCACTCCTAAAACGCTTCGTTTAAACACACCCCCACGTGTCTACGTCACTGTGTGGGAAGATTTGCATAACACCGCCTAAATGTTCACGCAAAGAAAGAAGGCGTAACTTTTATTCTCGCTGTAGTATTGTTGCTGCCGTCGCCGCCAAGTCGTGGAGATGCTGTGTGTTTCGTTATGAAAGCGAAACTACTTTGTTTGGCCTCTCAAAAGAGGACACGTCTAGAAATCAGTGGTTAAGTTGTATTTACAACACTGTTCCAGAACAGTTCAAACCAAATATTCAGATGTGTGCA